AGCTGCACCCGCGTCCCCTCCTGTCCCCAGTGCCGCCGCGAGTTCCCCAGCCGGGCTTTCCGCACCCACTACCTGCTGTCGGGGCTGGTGGAGAAGGTGCGGCGCTGCGGCTCTGTGGAGCACCGGCAGAAGATGCAGGTGAGCGGATGGGAGAGACACGTCCAGGAGCTGTGGGAGCCCTGTGCAGCCAGTGTGAGCTCACCATCCCCTCCTCCTGTGTGTGTGCCTCACCTGTCCTGAGTGCAATGACATCTCTGTCCCTTCCTGATTCATTCCTGATTTCCTCCTAGCTGCCTTGTCTTTATGACACTTTCTTTTCTTGCATTGGTTTCCCTCGTTGCCATGTCTGACTTCCATCCCAGCCTGGTTGTTTCTTACCATGCAGCCAGCAGTGAGGGCTGCTTGTGCCAGCTGTGCTGCTTGAGGGGACAGTCCCTGCACGAGTCAGTACACAGCACACAGGTTTTAAACCTTCTGCAAACAGATATCCCAGGCTAGAGCTCTGAATCTTAAACATAAATGAGTTTCATGGTGTGCACACATAATATAGTTCTCAAGCCTGTGCATCAGATGCTTTCTTCTCCTTACTCTCTAAGAAATCCTGTTGCAGCCTCCCTCTAAAGCTGGCCCAGGGGACTGGGATTGCTCCTGAATCACAGCAGAGTAATGAAATATTCTCCTCACTTTCTTTTCTTTGTTCTTGCAGAAGCACCTGGAAGATGCTTTGCAAGCTCGTCAGAAGGAGATGGAGAACTTCTTGAGGAGGAAGCACGTGATTCAGGAAGATATCTGTGGCCTGGTGGTAATGCCCTCTAATAGCTGCTTTTTGTACAGCCTCTAGGTTGATGTTCACAGAGGAGCTGTGTATCACTTCAGCTGAGATTTAGCTTGGCTTCCTGTAAAAATCTAGATGAATAACTGCACAGGGATCTGAACAAACTCCCCTGGGTGTATACCAAAGCTGTCACTACTGAATATTCAGCGAGGGCTTTGGGAAGAGGCATTAAGCACTTGTTAATTCAGTGTTTACAACGTACATTCGTGCAGCAGAGCAGACAGGGTGAGTGATGAGAGCTGCGGGCTGAGCAGCCTGTTCTGGCACTGCAGCTGCCACTTCAGGAGAGGGTTAATTCTTGAAAGCTCTAAAATCCTCTTGTGCGTCTGAAGGGGTGGCAGCAAAGCTGAAGGAGCTGGGTGAGTGGCAACAGTGGCACTGCAGAGAGCGGTGGCCTTGTCACAAGGACCGTGTTTGGGTTCACTGTGAAGCTCTGAGACGATGTGAGGAGGCCGAGTGCTCTCTCCAGGCTCAAGTGACACCATGCTGCCTGCTTGTTACTGATCAGTGAAGTAACAGCAGCCACAGGCTGACTCTGCTTCCTTTTTGAGTGACATAAAAGTATTAAAACCCAAGGAAGCAGAGTTTAAGGAAAATGGAAGTAGCTCAGAGGTGAGATAAAACTGATGTGAGACTGTCTTCTGACCAGAGTCTCTGATCCCTTTCCCTGCACTGTTTCATACCTCTGTCCCACTGCCAGATTTAGAATAGACCTTTGAGGGTAATGAACTATTAACAAATAAGCACATTTGGCTGATGTCCCATTGCAGTGGAAGAGCTGACTAAGAGGTGTTTCAAGAGTAAAGGAGCAAATTGCTGATCTGAAGAGGGAGTCCATGCACGTCCTCTGTGGTTCTGGTGTGTCAGCATAAGCACCTGCTAGAGCAAAGGCTGGGGTGCCGTGCCGGCTGGTGAAGCTTCACATGTACTCTGGGGGAGATGGGTTTCCTGCTGGTAGAAAGGGATTTGTGTTTCAGGAAGCACTCCTCAAGAAAGTAATGAGGGCTAAGGTTGCACTTGGAGATTAAAAGCTTAAAGATTGGGGAAAATAAAAAGCCATTGGCTGTCTCCTGTAAACAGGCAGGAAGGCAGCAAGAGCACCACAAGGTTGGCTGGCTGGCTAAACAACTGGAAAAATGTGACCTCTGAAAGAGCTGAATGGGATTTTATCAGCCTGAACTGCAGAGATTAGTTTGTGCAGCTCCCCTGTCTCTCCTGTACAAACAGGAGCCATGAGAGACGGAGGAATCACAGAAAAAGAGCAAGTTACCAGTGTCAGGCAGCTCTGCCTGGGGTCTGGCATGATGTGAAATAAGTTCTAACTAACCTGAACAGCTGACTCTGCAGCTCCAGAACAGCAAAAGAGCTCCAGTCTTGCACACAAGCAAATTCCTGGTGATGTGGGAGAGGGCTGTGGGCTCCCGCTGTGGCTGTGTGCAAGGATTTCTGCTTAAGGTGACCAAGCTGTTGGTAGAGGTTGGGTTTTTGGTGGTTTCTTTTGGGTTGGGTTTGTTGTTTTTTGTTTTGTTTTTTTTTCCTTTGGCTCTGCAGCCTTGAAAGTTATCCCTATGTCCTCTTCTCCATCCAAAAAGTTGTGGATATGTCAGAGACTCTCTGATTTCCAGGACTCTTTAAGCAGATGAATCAGGCCCACCTATCCTCTGCACCTACTTGTATGTTTTTAGCTGCCAAAATCATCTTCTGCCTTTTCTCTCTGCTCAGAAGGTATCTGGGGAGCTGAACTTAAAGATCCGTGCAGAGTTTGCCCGCCTTCATCAGATCCTAGAGGAAGAGGAGAGAGCTGTGCTGTCAGAGCTGGGTGAAAAGGAAGAGCAGTCGCTGGCCCGGCTGCACGGGGACATCCGCCAGCTGGAGGAGGGGATGTCGGTGCTGCAGAGGGACATAGAGCACATAGAGCAGACCCTGAGCAAGATGGAAGAAGTGTCGTTGCTGGAGGTGAGCGTGCTTGGCTGATGCTGGCAGGAGGCTGAAGGATATTTCAGGATCTGAATTTGGGATGTGGAGAGTCCTAAATGACAGCGCTAGGCTGTACCTGGCAGTTGTTCTCATTGCCATCCCTCTGGGTTATCTCCCCAATGCCTTGGAGTCTGGAGGCTTATCGTGTTCTCTCAGATGTGGTGGGTCTCAGGAGCCTTCCTCTTTCTGTCACCCCTGTGAGATTGCCTTGGCCACAGTGCCCAGGCAGTTTCCCCCAGGGTTGGGGTCCTGGTAGGCTGGTTTCCTCTCTCTGTGCTGCTTGACAGTGGGAGGCAGGACAGGGAGCTTATTTGTGCAGGTGCGTGAATTTACAGACAGTGACTGCTAATTCTCTCTGCTCCTCATTGCAGGTGGAGAGCCTGGATGTCAGGTACGTGTCTGGCATGAAAGAAGCTGATTCCCTTTGCAGGAGCTTATATCTGTCCCTGGCTGGGACCACACGGAGGAGGGATCTTATCTCAAATTTTATAAGCATCACAAAATACTCAGCAAGCTGCTGGTGCTGTGCTAGGGGGAAGCTGGTCCCCAGGACATGTTGGATGCTCTTCCCAGGGAGCATACATGTCAAGATGCCTGGGCTGGAAGAGATGTGCTGGTTTGGGATGAATGCAACAGCCATGCATGCTGGAAGTGGGAACAGGGCTGAACCTATAGATGCTGGTTGCTTTGACTTCTTCCTATTCTTTCTTAGCTTCTTACAGCTCATGGGGCTGCAGAACTGACACCAGGGTGCAGGTTTGTCTGAGGCAGCAAGTAGCTGAGAGCCAGAACTGCCATAGGGGAGCATGTCCCTGTCCCCTCCCTTGCTGGGGGCTGCATGGGATGCAGGGCTGGCCTGTTCACCCGTGCAGGAGTCCTGCTTGGCTGTGCTGGGTGCTGATTTGCCATGAGTCACTGTTCCATGAGCAGTGCTGCTGGATCTGTCTCAGTCCAGAACATCTCTGCCCCGAGCCACATCCCATGCTGGGAGTAGCACTGCATCAGGTGCAGCAAGCAGCTGCCAGGGAGGTTTGTGTCCTGTCCTTACCAAATCCATCGCACGTGGTAG